AAAACAATTTATTGTTGACAAAAGTCAACGATAATTTATTAACTAGATGTGACTCATCTACATGGGGTCTCACCTTTTGACAGCAGAACAATGGACAGTCCGATGAGTGACAGCACCACTGCAATAACCAGCAGAGAGATGCCAATGCCTTTCCAGTTTCTGTCTGTTCCAATAGGTCCTACGTTCTACACAACAAGAAAAGAAATCAGAGAAATAGAAATAGAATATCAATCATAATGACATATTAATACAATTCTGATCATGAAAATAATGATGATAATACTATAAAATAGTAACACATAGGAGATAAATATATTAGACCTCATCTGCGGTTTGCTGAATTTTTAGCCACACATGCTTACGTGGAAGTTATGGTTCATGCAAAGTATTAATGGTAGAACAGACTGAGCTCAGGTCAGATAAAGGCCAATGTTTGTACCTAGCCTTCTTAAAAGCAGAATTCATATTAAGGTGGAAATGTTTTTTAGGAAAAACATGGTACAACTGAACAATTTCTGCTCTAATTCTTTTTATTCAGCTCTTTCTAAACCGTTGCTTTCAATATGAAATTACTCAGTGCTCATGGCTGCAACACTTGAAGGTCTGTAAATCCTTTTATTTTTACTATGCACATTACTGCTTACTTTTCAGCCACTCGGTGTAGTTTTAATGAACTTGATGGGAATGAAAATAAAGTACTTGATATACAATGCTTGGTAAAAAAGGAAAGTGAAAAGAACCACAGAGGATATCAGTCATATTCAGCACCTTGTGATGGTCATTAATTTGTCACATGCTCATAGAAGGCTAGACTGAAGGATCTGCTTTCTTACTACCTAAAAATTAAACATTCACAATGACAAACATCATGCTTACTGTGTTGTGTTTTCAGAGATAGATTTTTTAATGTGTACAATGTGTTTATGAATGTATGGTTGTTTATTAATGTAATGTGTTTATGCTGATTTCCCCCTTCATTTTAACTTTCTTGGATCAAATAAAGCTTTTCTCGTTAGTCACTCTCAGTAGTTTTTTCTTTGCACAGCAGTTTGATAGGGAAGCCATGATTCACACAGTCGCTTTGCAACACTTCATCTAGAGATGTGATTTCTGCAAGGCATTGATGTGAGCTTTAATCTTGAAGGACCATTAATTAATGATTTTTGAGGCTGATGAACTGACAGGTCTTCCTTTCCTGGGGCGGTCCTCGTGAGAGCTGGTTTCATCACAGGTTTTTGAGAAGCTTTCAAGTTCTTCAAATTTTTTACACACTGAATGACTTTCATGTTTTAAAATAATGATGAACTGTGTTTCTCCTTTATTTCATTGAGTAGTTCCTGCTAGAATACAGACTACAGAAGAAGCTGAATTGGGTCAAGCAGAACAGAAGTGAAATTCCATCCATTAAGTTTGACAAGAAAAGTTAAGAAATAATTTTGGCTAACTGCTCAACCCCATATCATGGCAAAGTGTGCATGCGTAGACATGCCAGTCCACCATGCCTCTCCAAAGCGTGAAATGGACATGCATGCAGAAGTTGCGGTACCAGCAACACATTAAAAGCCAAGATGTTGCTAGTGACCAACAAAGGTATGAAGTACATTTCAGGGTCGTTCTGTGCCACAAACAATTAAGCTTGGTGGCTAATATGTATTTACATCTGAATGTGTTTATAATGTCTGTTTAAAGGCTCTCCCTTTGTTATTTTTATATTGGCTTGGAATAAAATGTGTCCCTCTGCTGTTACTGCAGCTTGCAAGTCCATTGGGATGGCAAAGCGTGGAATGGACACAGTGTGTGTATTGCACGCTTTGCTGTCATACTGGTTTGAAACACTTTATGAAGCTTCAGTTTTAGGCAAATACTGACTGCTTACAAGTATGTAAAACTATGTAATTTTAAATATGTTATTTAAAAGTTAAGATGTCTCTAGTAGAGCTGAGTATAGTCACTGATTTCTATAATCGATTCGATTTCGATTCACAAGGTCCCGATTCGATTCATCTCTGATTCTCTTGTGAGACTTCATCAGAGGTGTAAGCATCAGAGCAGGTGCCTTTGTGTCAAAGGAACTGAGGATAAAACACAGAACAACATGAAGGAGATTTTCCTGGCCTGACTTTTTATAGCAGATAACCTTAAAAATATTCTGCAGTAGATCATAAACTGAAGAAAACCATAAATCAACATATGAACATTACCTGATGCTGCTGAAGTGAAGCAGAGCAAAGTTACAGACGTTTTATTAGAGACATAACTATATGTTTTGCAATTTGGCATCATTTGTGAAAGTTCAAATTTCTTTGGTATTGAACAGCAAAAATTTGAATTTCTTGTCAGAGGTCATTTTTTTAAAAAAAATGATGGTGAGTAATAAGCAGGTAATTAATGCAGAAAACTGAGATTTATGATGGTGAACTGATCTTGGAGAGCTGTGTGCAGGAAGTGTGATTTTATCATGGTGGGAGCAAAACAGCAAAAGTGAGAGGGAACTAATGACAATGTTTTTCAAACATAAAGCATAGTTTTGATCTGCTTTTGCTGCTGGTTCAGTGAATTTTGGTTGTTTTTTTGAAACCCACCCAAACTCTCCAGTACTTTTTCTGCAATAATTAATACAAACCTTAAGCTTTTAAACTCAGTTTGATATTTTATTTTCCTATTTGTTTGTTTCATTTGTCCTTTTCAGTTTCTACTGTTCTTACAGTTTGATATTTTCGAAATCCAAATATTCATGAATTTCAGGCACACAGTTGCTTGTTTTGTTAGGTAGTTTTTTGTTACTTGAAAATGTTAGGGCTGTATTATTATTCATGCTATGCAGTTACACAAAATAACAAATGTGTAGTAGTAAAAAGCAAAATGACTTGGCATGATATTCATATAACATTTCACCATACCAGGCTGTTTTTTTACTGTGCTGAGTTTGATGAATGCTTGCATGTAAAGGGGTCAAAACCGCTCTCTGTAGACCAGACCCATTTCTGGACATGTCTCAAACTCTATCTTCCTGTCATCAGTTATACAGCCTTACTTCATTTGCTTTGACAGAGTGGTGTTATAAATAAATCGGTCTCGCTTACAGAGCCGCAAGCTGCTAAAATCTCTTCTGTGTGTTTATATTTGCTTTCAAAACCCTTTAATTAGGAATATGATTCCAAGATAAACATCCTGGAGCTTCACCAGCGCAACATCGCCTGCATTTCTACTCTACAACTTTAACCATACGCCCAGTCCCTGTGGCATATAGTTATTCAATTTCTGGATCAGTCACAGCATAAAAGTAATTTTTCCACAGTGAACACTTCTCCTCTGGTGTTGGTTGAGCATGATTTTATTTGTGGCATCTTTGTTCTCGTTGTTTTGTTTGGCGTCATTAACTAGAGAAATCCTCATTACACATCAGGGAACATTATATGTCATTACGATTTCCCCCATCACATCGTTATACAGTATTCCAGTCATACACTGAGGCTTTTATGTTCCTCATATCCTGCAATTCTGGGAATCCCGTTCTCCCCCCCTGTGAAAATGTTGCTTGGAATAAAATGTGTCCATATTAAAAAACTGATTGAAAATGCCATTAAATAGCTCCAGTTTGACAGTCTGAATCCAGTTTGATGTAGGTCACTGTGAGCACTTGCAGCCAAGAAAACAGAAGCAAAAACAACTGCACCCCTCTGACAACACAACTTAAGATGTTTATATTTAAAGCTGTAATTTTATTGGACCATTGGTTGCCCATTTCCTTTGTATAATTTGTTACACAATGTACTTCCACTTCCTGAATGTAATTTAAAGAAAATATTAACATAAAAACCCATGAATTAAATGTTCTCCTCATATTAGGATTAAAGCTTTTTTGTAGGAAACCATTTTTTTAATCATTTATCCAGCTCAGGGTCAATGGTGGGGGCTACAGATGACCCCAGCTGTCACAGGCTGAGAGCGACAGTACACCTCCTACATTCAATCCTACTGACAATATAGAACTACCAATTATCCTAACATAGTGACCTAACATGTGGAAGATCACTGGTTCAAGATCAGAAAAAGACATAAATCTCTGGGAGGCTAATGTCGGGAAGGGCATCCATGCTGTGAAGGAGATATGCTTCATATAAGAAAGCTTTGCAGACACAGGGAGAAAATACAAACTCCGCTCAGAAAGTCCCTGGCCAGGAACCTTCTTTCTGTGAGTGTTCCTTTATATTTATAAAATATCTGCAGTAACACAGCATTTAAAGTTATATCATTACAAAATTCTGTCCAATCAAAAGACAGCATCCATCAGGATTTTAAGGTTGTTAAAAAACGATTTCCTACACCTCAGGTACTGAGCTATCACAAGCAAAAGCTCAACAGGACTTAATTAACTTCATATCTAATATCGTCTGTGGTATCCAGCCATCAGACTGTATACAGGAACTGAAATAAGCAACTGAGATATTACCCATTGGTTTATGAAGTACCATTTTCAAGCCTCAAGTTTAGTGAAACATACACCATATCAGAGGTTTACATTGGCAACAGGAACTGGGAATTTCCACTAGCAACTTTTTTTCACATGTAGTGATGCCTAACTATTGTGGCCTCTGGTGTGGATGCCCCCTTAACTGGATTTGGACAAGAGGTCAATGATCCTGTCCAGATTATAGTCCTCATGGAAGTTGTTTTTAAATGGGAGTACAATGGATCCAGAGATTTTTTTGTTCCCAGACAGCACTTTGTACCTCAGATGGCTTCATTTTTCCAAGCCACTGGCTATGTCCATCATTTATATACAATTTATGATTTTAACTTGTAAGTACTGCTCTTGCACTCAGTGGGCAGTGGTTTCAATGTAATAGATGCCCATTGTTGTCAGATGCTTTAACATTGATTCTGTATAGCAGCTCGCAATGACTTAGTGTAAATGTGATTGACTATCATGGTAAAAATGGGAAATGGCCTGCATTTGTAAAGCTCTTTACTAGTCTTTACTAGGACCCCAAAGCGCTTCACACTACATTCAGTCATCCACCCATTCACACACACATTCACACACTGGTGATGGCAGCTACATTGTAGCTACAGCTGCCCTGGGGCGCACTAACAGAGGCGAGGCTGCCGGACACTGGCGCCACCGGGCCCTCTGACCACCACCAGTCATATCAAATATAGATGTAAAGTCAGAAGCAACTCT